GGCAAGCATGGCAGCCTGCCTCCTTGGTTTCAAATCCTCTGTATTTGCAATCGACTGGCTACATTGTTGTGATCAGGGAATAGCAGCCGACTCGGGGATCGGCCAGTAGGACTCGAGGCACTGGCCGCCTTTGCCGTAGGGCTCGAGGAGAGACCGCCATCGCCGCGAGCCCGCTTTACGATTCTCTCACTTTCTGGCACCACGTTGACATCGCCATCCCAGCCGGGCGCCGAAGACGAACCAGTAGTTCTTCCGCCTTCTGTCCAGCATCTGGCACTGGAACACGCGCCAAGCGATGCTCCAAAAACTCAACCAGGTACTTAGCACCATCTGGCTGCAGCAACCGCTCGTGGTCCACTTCCTGAGTTGCCACCCAGGCCCTGCCGGACAATTGGCTGACCAATTCCGGGCCCAAGTACCTGCGCTTTCGCTTGCGGGTCTTTTCAAAAGCAAGTCGAACCCGTCGAACATAGTCCACCCATGTCGACGGCTCGCCGTCCCAAGCACAGCGGTCCACCGCTCGGTCATCTCGACCATTGCCTGCCATCGAAGACAAGCCCTGGTAACCGCCAGCTCCAAAAACACCTTCAGCTTTGCCACTTTGAATTCAACCTTCCGGCTCCGGTTCGCGAACCTCTCGCCAAAGGCCCTCGTGCAGTAGTCGGGGTAGCCACGCTCTGCTACCAGTCTCGGAGAGAGGCTGGAAGCCCCCTTATGAGCAGCAAGATCAAAAGCTGTGCACTCGCCACTCTCTTTTCCACGCGTGTCCTTCACGATCACGCACTCTTGGGATTCCTCCCTTCAGGGGCGCTTCACGCCTCTCCAGATATACGGCCGTAGCTTGGTGGTTTCTAAAGCACTATGGCAGAAGGGGCCCCTTGGGAGGAAAAGGCTCGCAGCAGATGCTTTCAGGTGCACAAGCATGCCGTAGAAGCAATGAACAAGCAGCTTGAGCTTGGATACTCACAGTGCCGGGTGATAGACAGCGTTTGCCTGCTTGGCCCTGTGAAGAGATGCATACTCTGGATTGGGGATGGGGAGCTCACGTACCAGGCCGAGCCCTCAAGAGCTTGTCTGACGTAAGCTGTGCAAGGGACACTTCAAAGTTGTACGATTTCAACGTCCAAAAAACTCGTACAACGGTGAGCCAAATTTCTGCAAATGCACCTCAGTGCTTGACTTCTCAGCTGCCACGGCACGTGCCTTCCCGTACGCAACTGAATGAAAACCGAATAAACTTTGCAAAGCTGTCAATGACCCCTCCTCAGCATGCTTGCACAAGGACTGTGCAGTGTCCAGGGCTTTGCAGAGGCGCTGCACCTGCAAGCCGGCTGCAAGCCCATCAGATGCCCTGTGACGACCAGCTGATATGAGGTCTTTGGCTTCGTCTTTCCATGGGATACCAACACTTGTATTAGGATCTATCGATTCCTTCCCGTGGCCAGGCTGTTTGCGCCTCGTCCCTTGCTGCCGACGCTTCTGTTTGGCTAGCCTCTGCTCCGCTCAGGTGCGGGTAGCTGCGGGTAGCTGCAAGTTGCCAGATGTGAGGCCTTGATCTGGCTTTGCAAGGCTTGAACTTTGGACTCCAGTTCCTCCAGGGTTCATGCGCTCATACACTTCCATTTTTGACACAGGCATGTCCGTCCTGCTGCTTGAGCTCACGTGCCTGGTTTGACACTAATATCCACAGGTGCAGAATTCGGAAGGCTCTCACAAGGAGGATCAAGGTCCCCGCAGGAACAGGTACATCAAACCCTGTCTTCAGTTGGAGTACTCAGCATCGTACCGCAGCAATCTGCGAATGCTCCCGCTGCAATCGCTCCACCTGCCAAAGTGGCAGAATGACTCCAGAAGATTCTGACAGGATCTGTTCTGATTAAAGTCCAGGCTTGGACATTTACACCGAGGAGAGCTGTCTTCAACTCCATCGGCCCGCCTGTGCTGCTAGGTCTTCACGCTCTGACTGCAAAGCCTCCCAGGCAGCATGTAGTACGGACTTTCAGAGACAGCTAGCTTGTGCTAGCCTGGGCGGTCTTGAGCTGCAGACACCTGCCTCCACCTCACTTCGCAGCTGCCCTCTCTCATCCACGGCACTGCGAAACTGCAGCCTGTCCAAAACAAACAATGCGTTATCATCAGCAATAGCCAGAGACAGTAGAGTCTACAAGGTGTGACACAAGGTACCTCATGGAGCCAGCAAGGCAGCAGCTTGAGCCGGTACAGGATTTCTACGTACTTTCTTGGAAGACATGCAGATTTCACCTTGCCTTAACACACCAAATGCGTTACTCAGGTCTTGAGCATCATTGCTTAGCGCTTAGCAAAAAGAGCAAGGGCAAGCGTTACCGCTCTTTCTCTTCGCGAAACGATTTGGTGACAAAGCACATTGGCAATGTCAGCCGACAATGGAACAAGCATTCCAACAGTATCAACTAAAATTCCCATTCAGGGAAGTCGCAGACAGCTGGTGGCTGTTCATGGCATCTGCGTCTTGAAGCGGATCAGGGATGGTGGGAGGCGGCTGTGATACTTCAAATACGCGTACCTTTCACGGGCAGATTGATATGAAGTGTAAAGGATGAGTGCCTAGCGGTTCTGCAGACATCCAGCAGATAGCGCAGATTTTTCCCACTCTTTCCGCGTCGGGGGGGCCGCTAAGGCTCAGCTAGGCTCAGAATGTCTCTCTCGCCGACTGGAGTAGGTATAGCAAATAAGCAAGCAGGAAAGCTTGCCCTGCATATGTATGCAGCCAGAAGCCCGAAACACCAACCACCAACATCACCAGCGCCAAAGTTGCACCCATCCTGAGCTGTGACGCATGTGATATGACTGACGCTCCCAGACATCCCCACATGTGCCATCCCTCAGCCCTACGTTTTACTCCTCGTGCCCTCCCTGAGCCCGCATGTTTTGTGAAACTTTTGCAGGCCACAACACTTAGACCTTAGAACAGAGACATGGTCAGCTCAGGCCGTCACCTGCAAACAGGATGCTCATTCTACATGCGGCGCACAGGGCAACCGAAGAGTGGGGACACAAAAAAGCAAAGCAATCAAAGCCAGCATAACGTCTTTGATCAGTTTGACCTAGCTCAAATACAACTTGTTTCACGTCGTTTCGGCTTCACCTTGATTCTTCTGCCTGCAATCCAAGCTCCACAGCACGGAGGACAAGATTTCTGCACTGTCGCTGGTGTAGCTGCCGCGCACTAGCACACTGACGAAGATAGGAGCCGCCAACACAAAGAAGACGTTCTGTACATTGCTCCCCAAGGCATTGCTTACGGCCATGTCACCGCGGCCCTGCCTGGAGCTCAGCATACAATTGAGATAGCCTTATTTAACAAATTTATGCACTCCTGCCTTGCAGTAGCTACGGATGCTAGCAGATTCGGCCACGATGTTCCAATCGCCACCAGAGTCAGGCCAAGAAAGCTTTTCGGAATGCCCCAAAATATGTTGATACGGTCAGAGCCGATGCAAACAATGTACGCAGTGACACTCAGCCATGCCATCGAAACAAAGAAGCTGGAGAAGAATCGGGTAGGTTGCAGCTTGACGTTTGGAATTGTTAGCCATGCCAGGAGAGCTCCGGGAGATAACAAGGTCTGCACGAGCTGGCGTTGTTCAAGGGGATGTTGCTCTTGGAAACATAAGTCTTCTATATCCTGGCCAGAGACTTGCCTGGAAAGCGGACTGGGTAGCATCAATATCTCCAACAGGGTGAACCCTTGGATGCTTGCAGATTCTTTCGCCACAACCCCACCTGGCAATGTTCCCTGGTGAAGTGATCAGCCCATCCGCGAGTGGAGAGGTGCCATCCTTTCAAGACTCACAGATTCATAAGCTCTCCACACACTTGCGCATGCTTGCCACTTTCAATGTCTAAGGCGCCAACATACTGATGATCCCCAAACCAGTCTGCGCTCTTCGCCACCACCAAGGCGTAGATGGCTGAAAAAGCGAGCAGAACTGAGGCCTTCATTAAATCCACCACTGGCAGAGCCCACCATAACAACCTGAGCAGCCAAACCCACACTAATCTGTTTGCACCAGGTTTACCCGACTTTGCACACGGGCTGCACCCCTTCCTTAAAATCGCCCGAAGCACCATGCTTAGCATGAGCCATGCAGCAGGATAGAGATACCAGAGAAGGTTGCATCACGCAAGAAAAACGCAGGCTTCACCTTCAAAGTGCCCCGCGGAGATACGATAGGACAGCATGCCGTGATCACCTGACAGGCGGCTGTCATTCGGCATGCTGAACCGTCGTCTACGGTTAACTGAGTTCAGTGCCAGCACATTGAAAATAGCAGAGCCCACAATCGTGCCGATACCTCAGGCTCCGCCATTCTGTATGAAACTTCGAAACTCTGGCGATAATCTTGGACAAGCTGATTGCTGAGGGCGCGACCAACAGAAGCATCCTTGAGGTAGATAGAGCAACAATTTGTCAAAAGCTCTGGACCATTGCAGGCAAAGGCAACCAAGGTTGCGCCTGAAGCAATGTCTCATTTTCCCAGGCTATGCATTCCTTCAAGCATAGTACTTTAAGCTTGTAGGCCTCTCTCGGCGTACCTCAAGACATTGACATTTGTGCATAGGGCTACGGCTGCATAAAGGCTGCCGGCAAAATCTTGCGGTAAACAGCTGGCCGGCGCAATTCACGGAACTAGTTGGAATACCTTGGTGTGACCGTTGTGATCTTCGGCAAGGCCCAGATCATGGGAACTTGGTGGTCTCCTTGCCCTACCCTCCCCTCCTCGCCCCATCCTCTCCACCCAAAACGTCCCCAAGCCCGAGGCAGACTCCTAATCCACCAGGCCCAGTATCTAGGAGTACACACCACCTCCCAGACGGAACAGAGACTACATGGTTTGTCAGGTGCTCTTCGGTAACCAACCAGGATGGAAGGTCTAGCCACTGAGCTGTAAAGAATCAACTGGAGGGCAGTTGCTGACTAGCGCATCACGCGATCATGCAACCACTCAGCCCAATCCTGCAACATCATCGGGTATGTGAAAATGCTCGCTGATTGCATCCACTGCAGGCAGAAGATAATCGTCACAGACAATGGACATCAGGTAAAACATGTAGAGAATGATGGGCCACCAGAGGTAAGCTTCAGGATCACCGGGCAGGTCAGCACTCCATACTGCATCCATAGCGAAGCTTTCCTACATGGAGCGCTGGGCGCTTAATGTGACGTGGAAACGCATAGCTCAGTAGAGAGGTGTGTCAAGAGGCGGTGAGCTTGTTCAGCCATCTAAATGTTGTGAGTCATGAGTCAGAAAGAGGATGACACTTGTTTTACCAGCTTGACAAATCCAAGAAACTGGATGCGTTAAAACTCACATCAATGTTGAGTGTGCCTGTTTTGCTCAAACGGCTGCATAGCATGCTAAAAAAAGCCGCCTCACGGAATACACAACTGTTGTGGAAGAAATGCGGGTCACCAGCAGAAGTAGGCAACCGGAGCGGCAAAGAAGTAGGAATCAAAGCGATCCAAGATGCCCCCGTGCCCAGGAATAAGAGAACCTGTGTCCTCAACAGGTATACATAGAGCCTTGTCAATTTCCCGCCACTGCTAATGCAGTGCATTCTCAGGCACGTCCTTGACTTGAGCATCTCGCTTCATGGCCTTGGATTGGTGCACAAAAGCCCGGCTGTGCACCAAGGAACAGCCTTGCAGTCTGGCGACAGAAACGACCAAATCTCCCAGTAGGCTTGCACAGAAGATGAGAGCACCTACTAGCCTCAGACGCAGCGTTCGCACAGCATGACTGCTATGATTGGCTATGATGCTAACTGAGTGGGGTAGAAAGCTTAGCTTTGGCACGCCGAGATCACTGGGTCAGAGGGAAACCCCCATGCCTGCATCTATGAATTCGGAACTCTGGCTCGTTGGCTGCTGCAGTTGCCTGGTCGCAGAGGAGTGCCATGAGAACGGAACCCAGGAGGCCGAAGAAGGCACCCTGGACGATACTTTGAATCTCTCCAACGGACCCATGGCACAAAAGCTCCCGCCATCGTTGCCTCTTGGGTCTTTCTCGGGCTGACCACGATGAGGGGCCGCTTGCCAAAGTGCTTGCCTCGTGCCGACGAAAGAGCCATGCCACATTTCACACACGTCTTCAGCATCTAGGGAGAGCCTCCAAAGTAAGCGCAGGAATCAGCAGCTATGATGCACAGCACACAGGATACGGTGACCTTCGTTGCTGCACGTCTCACGTCGCTTGTTTAGCTACAACGTACTAAACATCAAATGCGGAATTCCCATCACGGACTAGATGCAGGTCTAGGGAACTGGCACAACAACCCACACTGCGCTCCAGCGGCCATCGGATCAGATGGATGAACTTGGTAAGAAGACCTTCAAGTTAACAACGCTTCCATCGCTTTCAACCTCCGGATGCATACCTGCCCCCAGCTCGCAGCAATGAAGCGGTCATTTTCTGAAACGCCTGCTCAGCTCAAAGCCTAGGTCCTGTTTGCGCCCTAGGATCCTTAGGAGTTCTGGCGTACGTAACTCCCGTGCCCATTGACGTCTGCCAGATCAATATGGGCGTGACAAGGCGGGTACAAGTCATCAGCATAATCGATGCCTTCATACTTGTCTAAAGCTTTGAGGTCAATGCGCGTTACCTGCTCTCCGAGCATCCTGAATGTGGATATCCGCTCCACGGTAAACAATGCATATGCACAAAACATCGTCTCGTATTCCTCAGGGCAGGAGGAGAAAGCAGAAATATCACGTGCGCCCCAGAACCCTTGTGGTACCCGAACAACCAATAAGGCTGGCCCAATTTTATCTGTCAAGCGCGACTTTGCAAATTTCAGCTCTGTTGTTGTCGATAGGAACCGTGGCATGCGCAGCTTCACGCCCTCTTTTACCAATCGAATGGACTCGCCAATGCCCACACCACTGTAAAAAACGCCACCCTGGTGATGCACCGAGTTGATGAAGTAGTTCATGTCCATGATGATCGGCATCACCGCTCTCAGGACATTTGAAGCATCTTGCGAGATTGCACAATTCAAAGCTCTATGGAACGGCTTTCGCTCAAAGAAGTGAATGGGACGTCTCCCGGTCCATTCAGAAAAATTTGTGTTGATGAACGCATGATAATCCAAACCTGGAATGTCCTCCGGATACTGGAAGGGTCGGAATAAAGTTTGCCTCGAATTCCCCTCTTCATCAGTGGATACAATTGAAGCAGGCCGCCCAACCTGTCCTACTTTGAAGCTTGCAGGTAGCAAGAAGTCGCGTGGGTAGACAGAGCCATCGGCCTCCATTGCGCAGCAGCGAAAGATTCTGCGAACAGCCACCATGGTCCCGCTTGTGTACATTTTGATGGTTGCCTGCATGGGCGCTCATCACAGCAAGCCCGCATTAGCCGAGACTGAGATTCAACAAGATTCCATATGTACTGTCATCGAAAAAATTGTCCCAAGCAAACCCCCTGAGCGACAAGGCCCCAAATGTGCAAAGAAATTTGGCTGACCAACACACCTCTAGATCCACACCAACACTGAAATGATCCACCAGGTCATCGTGCCATTGAGGCATCATTTCCTGACAGGCACCAGAAGCAGTTCTGATCGCAAGAACTGAAGAGGTATAGAAATTAACGAACATTTCTGTGTAGTTACGGACTCTTCATGTTCCTCAAGCCGCATTTGAGAACCCCAGCTCATGGCTACCGACTTTCTTTGTGCAAGTGCTGTCCTCCAGTGCAAGGTGACCAGACCCTTCAACTTGCCGGTCTAACGTGACCTCATAGTCCTTGAGGCACGTCCAGTAGTGCTGCACGAAAGCGTTCACCGCACATGCGAAGGAGGCCGCCAGGTCTTTTGCATCCACTGGTCGCGGCTCTCCAGTACCCTTGGGCCAGGCACAGTGTATGGTGTTTTCATGTCTTCTAGATGGCAAGTGTAGCTTCCAAGCTAGGAATACATGTCACACCCGCACACTCGAACTCACACCTTGTAGAGATGCTGGAAATTGCTTGTTTCCAGAAATTCGGGTACCACGAAGGGCGACTCACCATTTCTGTCTGCAAACTCATCCTGCGTTGGCTCCCACCAAACGGCCATGGGCTAAGCAGGACCCAGGCACACATTGGTCCCCTGTGAACTCATACTGTCAGAATACACGGATCGCCACATACTGGATTTAAGTGGTGGCACTTGCAAGTGCAAATTTGGTCAGCATGCTGCTAGAAAACATTGAAAAGGCTTCGAATCTCATGTAAAATATCTAAAAGGTGAACTCGGGCACTTTCTAGCCAAAGGCAGATCTTGCAGCCGCATCATCTGCAAATGACACAAAGTGACAAAAGCTGTGAGAATCAACTTTCAGCCCTTCAACAGCATTTTCTTCAGGTCACACGGTGCAGTCCATGTTCCACCCTTGTGTCGCACGGACCATCTGCAAGCTGTGTACAGCCCACTTTAGCACGGTTGTGTCCGCAAAGAAGCTGGACATTTTATGAACCTGCCAACGGGCCGTCTTTCTCCAGTAACGTGGATCCATACTTGCTGCGCAGAAAGGCCTCACCACTGGTGCCAAGCTTTTCATCAAAGAGCCTCTGCATGTGTTCCAGCATGATGCCCTTCGTCTCAGGCAGCCAGCTGGCCAGTGCCATGGCAGCTAAAGCAAAAAGGCCGAACAAGTAGAAGGTCAGGAAACCAAACTTTCAAAGCAGTACTGGCGTACATTGAGCGATTGCATAATTGCCGACCCAGTTTGAACACGCAGCAGTTGCTATGCATTGACTTCGGTACCGCAGAGGAAAAATCTCGGAGTTGTACACCCAGACAATAGGACCCCAGCCATACGCAAAGTTTATGATGAAAAAGAAGACCATGCTGACTACTAGATATCTGCCAACATCACTGGACAAGTCAGTGGTAAATCTTGCCATGACCCCGCTCCCAATGGAGGCAATGCTGATGCAAGCTACGGTCATGCCAAGGGCGCTCCACCACAAAAGACTTCGGCGTCCGCAGACATCTGCGAGTAGCAACGCTGGGAAGGTTGCCAAGAAGTTTACCAAGTTGCTGCACGTCTGAAACAAAGTCGGGCTGAAACCAATATCAGCGAATATTCTAGGCCCAAAGTACATGAATGCATTCATTCCAACCATTTGCTGGAGAATCTGCAGTGTGACACCAATGAGCAGCAACTGCCGCGGGCGGCCATGCAGCAATTCGCTCCATTTCGGCTCGCCAAGAGCCTAAAAGCAAGACAGGAATTACAATCACAAATAAACATACTGTAAAGACAAGAGGTCCCCGCCTTGGCTTCTGCATAGCTGAGCTTGATCTCTGCAAGCTCCGCCTCAGCCTCAGCATCGTCCCGCACGAGCCTCAAAGCCTCCAGCGCTTCGTCGCAGCGATCCTGCTGGACAAGCCACCGTGGGGATCTGGGCATGAACGGCATGCTGAACAGCAAAACCAAAGCCGGCACCATCTGGATTGAAATTGCCCAGCGCCAGCCATCATCTCTGTGCACGAGGTAGTGGTCGATGATTGCAGCAAGGAGAATTCCTGCTGTGATCATGAGTTGGTATATGGAAGTAAGGCATCCTCGCATAGTGGAAGGTGCCAGTTCGCTTTGATACAAGGAAACCACGGTGCTCAGAAGTCCAATCGAGAGCCCTGAAACGAAGCGGCCCCACAACATCATCGGAATCGAGTTGGCCATCACCTGCAAGCAGCTGCCAAGCAGGAAGACACCAGAGCCGATGATAATGGAGCTGCGTCTCCCCCAAGTATCCAAGCAATATGCACTCAATGGCGGAAGCGAGGAAACAACACAGCCAAGTGAGAAGACACCGACAATGAAACCTGCGCGGAATACGTTCAAACTACTTTCTGATCCACTCCTGCTGCGTTTCCAGTCCTTCTTCCTTGCTAATGCTGTGATCATGAAGCAAGTGTGCACACAACTACACATGGCAAACGCGGTCCATGCACCTGGGATAATATGTAAACATGCAATAAGTAAGGCTTAAGCCGCTTCCCTCCCTGGCCAACAGCACACCTGCAGTGTAGTCGTCGATCTTGGATCGATGGCTGTGCCAGTCGGCGAGGTGCGCCACATCTCGTTTGAACGATGCACACTCCAAGATTGGAGCTATGTATCCTGACAGGCCGAGCACAGCCAAGCTCTCCCACAATGTTAGCTGCAATGTTAGCTGCGTCGCAAAGCAACAATCTGCATGACATTGCATCATGGCAGGCCTATGTCGAGTCCAAACAGAAGGGCACCAAACGCAGATAAAATCGCCACAGCACTTGCCCGGATTCTTGGATTCATCACCTGAGTCGTGTTTTTGATTGGTCGAGCCAAGCATGATTGTGGTCTTCTGATAAGATACTACAAGCCAGAAGGAAGAAATGATCTTGCTCAATTACTCTGCATTGGGGACTATACTTTTATTCGCGCACCTGATCATGCACACGAAGTGTCAGACACAGGTGGGCACAGCTGGCCGGCAAAACTACTGGAACTTGCCTAGGATTGCCTTAGGCCCTCAGGCATGTCACAAGGGTTGTGCGAGGCCGTCTAGACATCAGACTTGGGAACCGAGTGATTTTCAGAACTCGTTAATTGCGGACAACATGAATCACAAAGCTTCAAGGGTCCCGCAAATGACCTGGCATGTCTTTTATGTCGTGAGCAACTCAAGACTGGTACCCTGGAGAGGCAGAGCCCGGGGACATGCCTGGTATTTAGCTTCATGTCTCTCTATCAAAACACCGGCCTTCGCGTCCTTCATCATTTACGAGCCGAAGCAGCTTGAATGAAGACCATCTTGAACAGCAAATTGAAATAGAAACAAAAATTTTCTGTGAAGCCAAAGTCACACAGTGGATGGGCGGACTGAAACACAAATGAATCCACACAGCTTTGCTGTGCGGACTCGGACCAAAAAAGCTCCAAAAGCAGTGGCGCATGCGTGTTCACAAAAGGAGGGACCAGAGCATTGTCGCTGTGTGCCCATCATTTTGTTAATTTCGTGGGCGATCATTCTTGGAAACTAGTCACATGACAAGCAGCTACCAAAGCCTGTCGGTGCACCCGCAGGCAATGCGGGACCGATTGCGCGCAGCCGAACCTGGCACTCACAGAGAACCATTTAGCTTCTGCAACGGAATCTGGCCAACTTGCGCATAAGCTTACAGCATTGGTGGTTGCATTCCACGGCGCGTTTTTGTCCCATGTTATCCCCAACAACAAAGTGCACAAACAACATTCCTTCTATGGCGGAGTTTCTTTGGATTCGCCTTCTGCGGGCAAACAGTCACGAATGTCCCCACACATGCAAACATGAACAGAATCCGCCCTTGCACATCCGCTTCGGAACAACACGTTTCATAGTAGACATATTGTTTCCAACGGTACATGTCTTTACGGTGGAGAGCCTGCTTCTGACTGTGGACGATTTTGGCAATTGCACACCACAAGCCAAAAGAAAACAAAAAGGAAAGCTGGCGGGTTCTCAAGAAGGGGTTCGCGTTCGGAACCCTAATGTATGCGCTTTATGAGAGACGTGAAGGCCTGCATGAAGCACGAAAAAGGCTGAGTCTTGCGAATTGCGGCTACTGCCTGCTATAAGTACGGCTATCCCACACCTGCAACCACGCCCCATCTCTCCTTGGAAGCACGCGCCGCCAGTGATGCAAGAGTGTCTTACATGGCAGGCGCAGTAGTTTTGCAGCGCAGACGCAGCAACATAACCTGGCAAAAAAGTGGTGTTGTTCGCGGGCAATGCAAACCTGAGGGTTTTTAAACGGCTTCAAGCGTTGTGCACGGATGTGAAATGGCCGAAACACTGGTCAGGCCAAACGGTAGACATTCCGAGATGCACGCCAGTTCAGACGCGGGGGCTTGTTTCCAACGTGCCCTGGGAGTGTTCTGACGCAGACGTTGCAGAGATTATCGCCACTTGGGATGCCACACCGTTGCATCCGCTCCGCACGGTCAAACTTGCAAATCAGGAGACAGCAACCCTCAAAGCATAGGAGTCCTGTAAGATTACCGTTTCACATGTGGAAGCTGTCAACCAAGCTTCCAACAGTGGTACCAAGACTTGGGCCGATCTTGCAAAGAAGTTGCCTCCTACTGCCCCCCCTCCCTGTGATAAGGGCCCTGATGGCGCTCGAAGTTCTAGCCCTGTAGCTGTAAATCCCGCCCCCGGGTCACCCCTCGAGAACCGAATGGCGACAGTTGAGGGGTGTTGCAAGACATCTTCGTAAGTGGGGAAAAACCCCTCAGCATATTTGCATCTGTCAGCTTGAGGTGTCCGAACAGGAGCTTGCCGAAACTGGAATGCTTGAGCGAGTTGATGGTAACGGTAGCTACTTGTGTCATGCTTTGGCACGCATCTTGTCCAATTACCCTTCTGAATATTCAGACGTCAAATTGCGTCGCCAGTTGCAGGATGCTTTGAGAGTCGTGGCGTAACACTGCTCCTTTCCTGGATGAAGATGTTGATGATTGGTCCAGCAAACAAGCAAAAGATAGGCAGCGAGGCGATGAGGTCAGTCTTTGTTTGTCAATTTGCAAGGGATCGCCCTCTGTAAATCGATGCTCCCTCCGCTATGGCATCTGCTGCTGAAAGGCATTGGAGGAGGTGTGGTCAGACAAAGGCTTTGTGGGGGTGGCTTGCACACATGACAGGAGCCAGGCAAGAGACTCCTCGCTGTCCTTGGTGAGGGCTATATCTGAGGCTGTTGGGCCTGCAATGCGAACCCAGGTGACCCTTGCCGAATGCGGCAGCAGAGGGACGTCTACTGCTACCCACCTCTATGACCTTGAAAGATGCAGGTATGTGCACTCCGGAAGGGGGCTTAATTACCACTGCTTTGGCGTCAAGGCTGAAGAGAAATCTTTGCCACTCGCGCGAAGGGATGCTGTACAGAGTGCCTGGCGGGCTGCACAGGTCCGAGTAGAGTGGGGCTTTAAAGCGCGTAAGTGATGGCTAATGACGGCTAATAATGGACGTTTCCCAGTTGAGCAGGCCCAGGCAGGACTGGAGGCTTTCTTGTGTACCTTCTTCTGCGCTAGAAGGTCTTGAATTTGTTCGGCCAGCTTGAGTAGCTTTTTTGGCTCGAGGCTGACTGTCTCAGATCGGAAATTAAATTTCCTCCGCACCAAATGATAGAGTCCCCGAAGGCTGCCTTTTTCCAAGAGAGACTTGAGGCAAACAAGGAGAACAACTAGAAGTGCAATCTGTAGATCTCCGCACCTTCGCAGGAGGTTTGCCAAAAGGCCATCCACGTAGAGCCAGGCTTTATGGGGCTGCTGTGCCGGGAGGCTGTGAGATATACGCAAGAGTAGGGCTCCCAAACGTTGCCACCAGTAGGAATGGGCTCCCAAGTGGCACACTACGTAGCCGTAGAGCTCCCTTGCGAACTCGAATGGAAGGAGGCCTAGGTCTTGCTCGCGGACTTTGACTTGCTTGTGGTCTGCTTTGAAGTCAAGGCTCGCCCCAATCCACATGCTGCGTGGCTCTGAGGGCTGAAAGGATGCGCAGACATCCGAAACAGTGGGCAGCTGCACTGCTTCCGGGAGGCTGCAGTTTGGGTTCACCTGACAGAAGGCACTGTCAAGGACAAGGGGAGGGTAATTGCCTGGTGCCATTTCTCCATGGCTGCCTTCCTCCCTCCCTTAATCCTCTGAACCCAGCCTGAGTCCATCTCTTGCTGAATACGGCCTTGAACTATTCAGGGCTTTGCCTTTGCTGCTGACCAGTTGCCTTCGCACATTTCTAAAGGCTCATCCTCATCATCCCAACCATTTTTTCCCTTCTTACCTTTCTTACCTTTCTTGCCTTTACCTTGAGACTTGTAACTTTCTGCATGCTCATGCGCTGATTCCTGATTCCTGATCCCCTGACTGCCATGAATTTGCTGCTTCTGGCTGACTTGACCAGCTGTCTTGCCACCACCAGGGCTCTTCAGTTTGCCAGGACCAGTCATCAAACTGACTGTGGTCCTCCTGGTAATGGCCCTTTTTCTTTCGGCGAGATTTAAAGAATCTCCGACCGCCACGGCCTCTGCCGCGGCTCTTTCCACCGCGTCCCTTCCCCTTGCCTTTCCTTGATCTTCGGCCTTGGAAGCAACGCTGGCACCATGATTCATTCTGTTCGTCGTAAATATAAAAAATGTCTTCGTGTGCATCCAGAAAGCCTTCTGCTCCATCATCCTCATCTTCGGCCCCAAAACCAAAGGAGCCATCTAGCCCACCTTCATCAAGTACGATGAAGCTCCTTCGGCCTCCATGGCCGGTATTATTGAGGACTGGATTGCTCACTGCTGTTCTCTCAGGGCGCTGGCACCCAATCCAACCAGATCTATACCAGGATGCGCCATAATGCTGGTAAGCGACATCCTTTGATCAAAGCTCAACTCTGCATGTGACACAAAAAGGAATCCAATCAAGTTTGTCGTCAGCGGCACCTTCTCCATGTGAGCCTGTCGTCTCCTTTCTTTGACAGCTGTCAGGATCTGGGCGGCAGTCATTGCCTGTCGCACCTCTGTTGAGAAAGATTGTGTGTATTGTCGAACTTCATCATGCGCTGGATCACTGATGGGTGTCAAAGTACCACCCCATGCTTCTTCCAGACGTTTCAACTGAATTTGAAATCTTGACA